TATTGGCAAATTTCATTTTTAAAATTGTTTTGCATACAGTAAGTAGTTCTACTAGGACAAATACTCAATTCCCTCTGCGATACAGTCTGCCATTGGCCTCAGTGACTGAATGTGGGAGAAAAATGATGCTGCACAAAGCGTTCTTATCGATTGTACCTGTTCTTGATCTTCAGTCATCCAGTTTTGTTTTTTGCATTAATACATAGTTATTTTCATTTTACAACACCACCTGTACGCTTATAATTTACAGTGTTAAAACAGCCTTTGTAGAATTTGGGACCTACTAGGCGACTGCATTTAGCCTTAGTGATTTGTAGAATATACTAGATATTCTGGGGCGAATGGAGGATTTGGCGATAGCGGGTACGTGAGAGTCCACATGACCTCATCCCCACCATGGTTGGGGCTGAGGGTAGAAAATTTTGAGAATAGAGACCTTTAGGTGCCCAGAAATTGGACTCTCATACCTTAAAAAATCTTACCGGTAATTCATATCAACAATATACTGGTAATACAACAATTATTTTCTTAATACAATTTAGGGTGGTGTGGTCGCACTGTCTGCAACCCTTCCCCCGGATCGCATCCGCCCCAGATATGTATTGTATTATGCATGATGCGATGCATACAAAATTTGAGCTCCAGTTGCTAAAGAACTCAACTACATTAATGATGCATTTGGTTCCAGTTTGCTAAACTAGAATTTTAGACCTGCTATAAGTGACTGCATTTTAGCCTTTAGTGATTTGTAGCATATACAAGATATTATCATGTATTATGCATAATAAGATGCATACAAAATTAGAGTTCCATGTGCTAAAAAACTTAAATACATAATTGATTCATTTGGTTCCAGTTGCTAAAAAACTTAAACTACATTAAAGCTTCAGTCATTCAGAAACTTAACACAGAACCAATTTTAAAGGAAATAAATATTTAATTCTTTTTTAAAAAAAAGATATGTTTAAATTTAGTTCCAGTTGCTAAACAACTTACCCTTGTATAACTACATTAATGATTCAGTTATTTAGAAACTGAAGACAGTATCAAATTCATATTAAATACATATTAAATTCTTTTAAGATAAAAGACAACTTGCAGTTTTGGTCTTTGTTTTTAGAGGTTTTTAGAAACGGAGCACAATCATTTTTGGAGACCACTGTGACTGCTTAGCACCTATAGCTATGATGTAGTTTGTAAGTCAATGAGGTCGTCACTCTAACTCCCAATGTTATTTTCCTATCCCCAACTGTACACTAATTTTTCATTAGTGCATGGTTTGCTTGATCTTTTTTTTGGTATGTGTGCAAAAGGTGAAAACAACTTGTAGAGTACGTATTGTGCACCGCGATGAATTGTAGACTAACATTACGATGTGCACCTGTGGAAAGAGAGGACAGACACTCGTCTAATCGTCATTTGTTAAAGGTTGATTAGAACCTGAAGAAAGTTACTTCATATTTAGTACTATGTATGAAAACTTAAAATTCCTTGAACCAATGGACCCAAAACTACTGTAAACAAACTGAACATTTAATAGGAACGAATATTCTAGACCTATTTTACTATTTTTACTTAAGGAATGAATTTAGACCTAGACATTTGATCCATTAATAGTTATATAAATGATTACGAATTTGCATACTTCACTAAATTAGTTATTTTCTTAATATGTGACATAAATTATGTGATTTTTGACATTGATATCTTGACCTTTGAACTGTTTAACTTTAAATTTGACCTTTTTTACTCAATATAACTAATTATGTTGCATCTTTTTTAAATTATAATACTTTACAGTTTTCGGTGTAAAACTAGGTGTTTATTGATGAGTAAGCATGACTCAAAGGTATTATTATTTTAACATTGGTTGGGAGAGGTTGCAGTTAGTTGTGAGTGGGGGAAAGGAGTTGTAGTGTGTTGTAAATACATAGCTATAGCAATTATTTTTAATACATTGCGTAGGAGTATGGCAGGCTAGCCTGAGTGTCTCATACAAGGTATGTATTGGCCTAGGCATGTAATTATAGTTACCAAATGAATAATGTGTCAAAATAATAATTTATTGTTCTTATCAACATTGTTGTTTAGTAAGTCTGACAGAAAGAGGACACACCTAGGCTCTGTTTAAAATCGCCATTGTTATACCTGCCTGTGTGAATGCCTGTAAGGGAAGCAGGGGGCATAAATTGTTTTTATAATATATAAATTGTTTTTATAATATATAATCATTTCTTTGCCATATACTTGTTTGTTTACCTAATATTAATCTTGTAAAAAAATATTGATATTGTGAAAAAAAAATTTAAGTAGTTATTGTTAGTGAAAAGTTCAATGCTTGCTTTTGTGTTATTGTGTTTGCAAAGTCAAGCGATTCAAAACTTCGCTTTACCAACTGTTTGACATAAATGCAAATTTTGTCATTTCCTGAAATAGAAACCTCATTGGATCATGTGGTGTTCTGAAGAGGGATTCCCCAAAGTTTATGGGCTAGGGCTTGTATAACTTAAGTTATATCGGATTAAATAGCCAGTGTAGTTTGTAGTAATACGGAGGGTGGTTTGGGGCGGTCTAGGAAGTAATACGCAGGGTGGTTTGGGGCGGTCTAGGAAGTAATACGCAAGGTGGTTTAGGGCAGTCTAGGGAGTAATACGCAGGGTGGTTTAGGGCAGTCTAGGGAGTAATACGCAGGGTGGTTTAGGGCAGTCTAGGGAGTAATATGCAGGGTGGTTTAGGGCAGTCTAGGGAGTAATACGCAGGGTGGTTTGGGGCAGTCTAGGGAGTAATACGCAGGGTGGTTTGGGGCGGTCTAGGAAGTAATACGCAAGGTGGTTTGGGGCGGTCTAGGAACTAATAGATTACACATAATCTTGGTCTCCATTTAGCGGCTTCTAATTGGAGACCAAACCCCGAGACCACCCCAAATTTTTAGGTCTTAAAGGTGGTCTCGAATTGAAAGGTGCAGTATACATCAAGAATACCAATGAGGCCTGTAAAGTTCTTAAGATATTTAGCAAAGATCTGTGTGTTTGGAAATCAGGGCGCACCTTGTCTTCCACTTTGGCGTTGTGTGTGTATCTTCACAGTCTGCATCAGCTGTGCCGACTTTTAGCAAGCTTGTATTTTGTGTGAAAGCCACAAAAATTGATAGAAAAATATTGGAACAGATATTCATGGTAATATTTAGTACATTCTCTCTTGTGTGAATCAAGTCTTTGTGATTGGTGGAAAAATTAGTGCATATTCAGATTTTAAATTTATTGCTAGAGAAACATTTTTCCCAGCCCAGATGAGATCACCTGAGAATTCGTCTAGATGTGTGGGACTCAACGTCAACTGAAAAATAACATTATAAAACATAGTGGTCATTCATTGGATAATTGAAAGAGAATAGCATCTTTGGTTTGAGCTTGAGGCCCATGATTTCCTTGAGAGTATCTACTGAATACCGGGGTAACTGCTGATTTGTTCCATTAGTTTCAGTTTTAACAACAGCAGTAATTATCAGCTGCTATCTGAGTAATTATATTTTTTTACCATGTAACCATAACCATGGGCTGTTTTTATTCTCATGAATTGAATAATGAGGTTGAAAGGTCTTGAATTGATAGTACTGAATGTTGATTTCATAAATTCTCATGAATTTTGTTGACGCATATCCAAAAAAAAAATATGTATAAAAAGAGGAATTCCAGAAAATTGCTACATGCAAAATTTGAGTTAAAAATAATATCAGGTTGTTCCAAAACAAGAACCATAGGCGAGCGGCCACTTGAACACTCGCCATCAATCTTTTTTATAGTTTGATTCAGTTCACTGTTGGGAATCCTGTCTCAGTTGTTCTTGTTTGGTGTTAATTGTTTTTTCGAGACGAATAAAGGAAAGGGAAAGAAAATTATATGGCTGTAGATTGTGGTGCCCCTGCATTAACCGTTTGGCCATTCGACCGCAGGGCAAGACCAGGATGTCTTTTTTGAATGAAAACTTGTCGGTTGCTAACCATTGTTTGGCACAGACTTTATCAGATGTATTCTTCTATTCTGTAATTGTAGGCCTAACCCAAAACTTGTAGAAATTATATTTATTCAGAAAGTTGGCTTTTATGATTAGATAAGCACTCACGAATAGGGCTGATGGAGTCGTCAACCGTATGTAGGAGTGTTGACTTGGGGTGTAGGGGGGGCTGATGGTTTAAGTGGTGAGGCTTGATGGTTAATAGAAGGGGAGTCCAACTTGCAAGATAATGTATTGTTTTAGCTACTGGAGTGAGTTTTTTTGCTCAGCAAATTTCCAGTCGGGAGGGAGAACCTGGAGAAGGGGAACAAGCATTTCACCCCGTAGATGTGACACAGCCAAGGTGTGCACCGGTCTTTAGCCATTAGAGCACCACATCCATCTTGTGGGTCGAATGGCCGAGCGGTTAGCAGGGGCGCCGCAAGCTATAGCCATAATATCGGCAGTGGTTCAAACGGCTCGCTCGCCTATAGTTCTGGTGGTAGAACAAGTCTTCTCGGATAAGGACTATAAACTGTAGGCCCAGTGTATACAATGGCTCATGTGCACTATAAAGAACCCAGTACATAATTCGAGACGAGTAGGGGGATACCCCGGTGTACTGGAACAGACAACCCCTGTAGTGGACCACAAGAGTTGCTGGTACCGGGTTGCCAGGTAGCACAGACACGAAGGGACCCTTAGGGGTGAAGAAAGTCATTGATCGAGTTCCTAGTCCACATATCAAGCGCCCTGAGCATCTTACATTAGATGGATATGTGCGCTATATAAAACTACACTATTATTATCTTGTAAGTGGTGATTCACTTGTTGTTGGAAGAAAATGAAATAAATGAGTTATTGGTAACTGTTTAAAACATTTTTACTATGAACATTATTTTTTTTTTAAATGTTTAATGTGTTGTTGATATACAATATATTTGGAAACGTACTGAGCATTCAGTATGATAATAAATAATTTTATATCATACAATTTGTTTTTTCAGTCATCAACGGAACAAAAATCCTGCTCTAAAATTTGATGCTAAGTACTATGTTTTTGGTGAAAAACCAGAACGAGAAGTGTGAGTTAATTTCATTTTCTTAATACTTTGTATTTAGTTGATGTGCATTAGAGGAGAAAATAAAAATTTAATTTTATTAGTTAATGTAAACAGTGTAGTAATGGGATGGTTAAATGCTTTAAATTTATATTTAAATTTAAAAGAAATTTATATTTTATTTTTGGAGATTTCAAGGCAGCGACGGGCATTATAAAAATAAAGATAAACCTTTTTTTGTGGTCGCAGGTGCACTAATTGGCCAAAAATAAAATTTTATTTTCGAAATCATTATTCGCGGGCGGTGGGTTCACTAAACAAGATATAACAAAATTCTCACCTAACTTCAACCAATAAAATTATTTTAAGACAGAAATTTTTTCAAGATTTTATGTTACCTAGATATTTGTAAAAAAATGATGTGGATACTGATTTTAATGATAAAGAAGATTATATCTTGCATAGCATTAGCAGAATATTAATTGGCTTTTTTGATCATCACAAGATGATTTATGGTGAATGCTGTATGTCTGTTATTGTTAAAGTGATAATGCTTGGAAATGTGACTACCAATTATAGACATAATGCAGTGCATCCATTTGATGTCATTAACATAATAATTTGCTTACAGTCTTGAGTAAATTAATATAATGCAATGACTAGATATTTGATACCAAACTTTTTTTAAGAGAATATAAATTTGTAAGCCTAGTAAATAAATTGTCTCTCATGTTATTGGTTATAATAAAGGCAATAGCTATTGTTATACCACTCTTAAACAAATTCATAATTTGATTGGATGCTATTGCCCTAATCGAATCCATACATTCAATCAAAATTGGAAAATAATTTAAGAGTGGTGTAACAATAGCCAGTGCCTATATATTGAAATCCTTGACCTACTTTTGTTGAGGCAATTCCTTTCTGTACTTGCAGAGGCGTTCCATTTGATAATGTTGTCTCGGAACCGCATACAATTGCATGTTATTTTAAATGATTAAACACTTGCAACGAAGATGAATAACATATTGTACAGATCTCATTGCAGTCAATTTGAATTTCAAAATACAATATCCTTGGAAATAATATCAAATCAATATGCTTGTCAAAGTGTAGTAATTATCTCAACAGTAGACTAGAGTACATTCAAAAAATTGCATGTCCATTACCAACAAGGTGTATGCATCCAAAATTGTTTTATTTTTTTCATTAATGCAATATGAATATTGAATCACAGCAAGATTAATATAAAACAATAATGATTTTTGCCACTTGATGATACTACAAATTGCAACTGATGGTAGCTGATGATGGAAACATCACCTTTAAAATTAGCCCAAACCAAACAAACTATTGCATTGTCTATAACTATTAAACCATAGTAAAAATATAAACTATCACAGTAAATAAAACTTTGTTGAATAAGGTGGGTCTTTGCTGAACACCATTTGTTTTTTTTTAACGTTGATTACCTTGTCAACATGTGCAATGGACTGCATGGCCTATGGCACATTTGTAAATAATTTAGACTGTCAAAAATTCCATCTTTACTCGCATTCAGTCTGCTTTAGACTTATGTTCAGTTATTTATAAATCTATTTCCAAAACTAGAGCTTACATTATTTATAAATACCAAGAGTCATAAATTGATAGGAAAGATAGATAATAATTGATAATTCTTTATTTGACATAGAAATATTCCTGGAAAATTGTTTTGTTGGCAAGATATCAAACATTGTTATAAAAATAAAAATATAGTCTGTTGTTGTTATTAGCATGTTAAGACAAACTTGTTTATTGTTATTGTTGCTACTGCTTCCGCGGCGCAAAGTCGCCACTTTCTGTTTCTGAGTGAATAGATTTTTCTAACTCGACAAAAAAATTTTGATTTTTGCATTGGTCAATTTGTTTTTTCAAATGATTTCGGAGCCACTTAAAATCAACCTATGCGGCTAGGTTGACTGTATGTAATGGAAAAAATCCCACTTGTGAAGGGCTGAAATGTTGTAGTATTACTTGCTTTGTTATATTGTTAAAATGGCAACTCAACAAGTTTCAGCCTCTGTTTGTGTCATTAATTTTCATGGCCTTTTTGTTACAATCTAGACATTTTCTGGCAACCATTCGTCGTATTCTGCAAGAATCTCTTGATGGTCTTCTCACTACAGCTGATGTAAGTTCTTTTTAAAGTAAAGTTGTTTTTTTTTTAAGTAAAGTAAATCTTTCAATATTATTTCTAGGTCATTTCATTCAATTCTGAAGTACAGTCCAGACTATCAAATTTTATTTGACAAAAACATGTGACATGCAAATACAGTACATATGTATATTAAGTGATCAGTGAAAAGTATAGGAAAGTGTAAATTTATGATTGTAAAAACCATCCACTGTTAACGTGAGAAATAAATGTTATGGAAAGGCAATACATTGTTGAAAATAGTGTTTAGATACTTATTCTAGGCCTAGGCCTACCATTTGGGGGCCAGTGTAATTTGGAGCATAAGTTCAATTTCCAATCAATTTGGATAGTTTACTGATGCTCCAACCAACAGTATTCAACGCAGAAACACTCCGAAGAAGCCATGCGAGCTTCGCTGACACTGTCTACTTACAATTTTCATACACTAGTTGTCACATGAACCAAGTTGTTGATTGTGTCTGTTACTGGGGATTGTTGTTTGAATCAGTGGTGGCCCCCATAGTAAAAAATTATTTATGCGAGTCAAGTGAAAATAATGAATAATAAAAATATAACAAATAATATGAGACACAACCCATTGTCTATATTAGAACACTTCTCATTGGGTGACAAAGTCGTAATTTTTCATTTTTGTCAAAAAATGTCTATAAGTGGTGAATTATGGTTTAGGTTTTTTTTAGTTTCAAAAATTTCTATGTATGTGGAAAATGTAGTTGATTACCAAAGGTTACAATTTTTATTTAGAAGACTGCATGGTCTAGGAAGTGTACATTTTTTTATGGGGCAAGTTTCCAAGGGCGGGTTTTCTAGGGGCGAGTTGACTGCCAAAGAGTGTTGCCAAAGTGCGAGCCAACGGCCCCCCCTGTCCCCAGCCCAGTGAGACTCGATTCGCTCCACTAGCCCTCCCCCCCCCCACCCGTCGGGGCCTTTAGCCCCTCCGTCGGGCAGGTCCTGGCGCCACCACTGGTTTGAATAAAATAAGTAGAATAGGATTCGAACTTGAGGAAACAAAGCTTCCTTTTTTTGGTCTTTTTGGTGGCAAAAGGTGACAGCAAGTTACGCCTGATTTCCGTAAAATTGCTACACTGTAGCTGCAGTGTTTTTAGTGCAATCGTTAACTGCGTATTATGTAGGGATTGTATGGAAACCATGCTTTAAACAACCCAGACCTAATTCACTCTAATTTATGCAACTTCCGTTTGTTAATTGATTTAGAAGTATAAGCAGTTGTATATAGATCAATACCTGGGGCAAGAATAAAACACAATCAATATTATTACTTATAAAAATCATGCATGCAGACACAGCCACTGACTGGACTACGGCCTAAGACCAATTTCTTCATGGCATTTACTATTTGAAATGTCTTTATGACAGGGCATTGTTGAAACTGAACTGTATAAATTAAATTAAAAATCATGTTGTACTATTGGTGTGATGTTCTTGCAAGTACTTCTAAAATGCAACAGTACCATAAAATATACTAATGATTGAAATTTTGCATAAGTATATTGATAAAAAATAAAACATGTACATAAAAAATATGTACTAAATCAATATTGTTACTGTATTGTTAAAACACATGTGGTAGCTGGCCCCAATGCGAGTTAAAGTTTCAGCCAACAAGAACAATTCACGATTAACATACTAATCAGGGATAAATGGAAGACCAGATGTAGTATAATCATAATTTTATTTATAGTTGTTTAATTAGTTTCATCAAGGTTTATGTCCAGATTGTTGTTTGTCGCTAATATGATGGAGTGGATCGTAAGCTGGATTTCTCTTGTTGGGCTTGTTTCATAAGCACTGCGTCATCATCATGTGGATCCCTGGTGTTCCTATTACCGCACTAAGCCTGCATTTTCTCCAATTAATTTCGATATTAAAACCCAAGTGCATTGAAAAGCATTGCAATGTATTCCCCATCTGTATGATGATAGACAGCAAAGTCCGTTTTTATTGACAGACTTGTTTACATATTTTTAAACAAATTTCTAATAATACTTACTTATTCAAGGATTATGCTTTATGTTTTCATATGAAAACATGTATTTTTATGATACAAGTCCCCAACCATTACCAATTTTTTTTTTCAATAATTAATTTCTTGCTTTAAACCAATTTTACTTACTGTTTCTGCTGTGTTGCCAGTTTCGTTTGGCTATCAGTCAGGCTTCGTCAGAATCTGTGGTGTTTGTTTCCGCAGACGCTTGATTTTAGTGGGCTGCTCCAGCCGTCTTTAGTAGTTGGTCATATAAGTGTGAGAGGTGATGTATGCCTTCATCTATAACCATTTTATTTTTTAAAAATTATAAAATATCTTTTTAAATTCTCTTTGTTTTTCATTGTTAAAATGTTAAAATAAATAAATAATTAAATAAGTAAACAAACAAACAAATAAAATTACCACCCACACATTGTATTTCATGTTTCTTTTATTCCTGTGATGCAAACATTCCACTGAATTAGGGTTTGATTGGTTTTTATTTTCATTTTTTTTTTGTTAATGGGAAGGATGAGGTATTTTAGATAGATGTACTGGCATTTGGGAATAACATATGTGTCAATCCTCAATAGGGAGATCAAAGGCGCAGTGTGTTTAAAAGGCTAGATGTCACCAGATGAGTTTTCAATGCTGATTTGAAGGCTGTATTTATAATAGCTTGGATGTAATATTTTATTTGGTGAGATGTGGGAATAGGTTACCCAGGCTGTAACCTTTCACCCCGTCGCTTTTTTAAAGGAATGTATTTTCAATGCAAGAATTTCAGTAAAGATGAAATAAATTCAATCACATTGCCACATAAATGGTGAAATGAGAAAAATAATACATAATATTAAACAATTATAATTCTTTGTAATTTAACCTACATCAATAATGTAATCAAAATACAAAAAAAAGAAAAACCATATTACATCAATAAGTCATACCTAAAAATAAAGATTCAAGTGAAGATTCAGATGCGAGACTCGGGAATGTAGTTAAATAAAAGTAGAGGCATGGACAAACAATCTGGTGAGGCTCACAAAAAGACATGTTCAATGGGAGTGTCTGTTAAAATGACTCAGTGATGCTGCGGAGTGACAGAGTGTCAGAGCCCCGGTTGGATGATAAATGGACCTCATTTAACTGAAGGGACAGTAACCCATATGACAACAGTATCAGTTGTATTTTCATGTCTGCATTTCATACCTAATAAACATTTTTAAAGTGTAATACGTATTATTTTTACATCAAAGCCTGGTTTTCTTAAAATTGATACGCTGTTGCTACAGAAATCGCTACGCTACATACAGTAGCTTTCCAACACACAATTGCAAAAGTCCTCCTATTTTTCTCAAACAAATCAGTAATGTTTAAACCACATTCGACTTCTCTGCGATGCTTAGTAAACACGGCCCAATTGTCTGCCGAATCCACAAAACGTCACCAACATCTCCGAAAACAATCATCATGTATAATTGTTCTCGTAAAGCCAAATTTTGATTACTTTTATTTTTAACCAAATATTTCAAGACTGTAAGGCGGTTAATGATGTTTGATACAAATATACACTAGTATATACGAACAAATCCTATAAATGCCTAGCCTAGGCCCTAAGAACAGAAATATAAAATTGCTACCGAGAGCCACCAACAGCTGTTGGACCGTTGGCAACTTGTATTGGTGCAGCAATTTTATGGAAACCATGCTTATTTATTTAAATAGGCATCCACAATCATCGATACTACTGTATGGTTAAGATCACACTAGAGCCCTAGTATCCGGATTGGGTGCAACCGTTGGCACTCGTTTGAGAACGCCTGATCAGTTTGCACTAACCGTTACCAGGATCTGGATATGCTAACTGCTAGCGAGCGCTATCAATTAGCAAGTTGAGCACGTTTCTGTCATTAACCAATCACACGTACCCATTTCCAATATCCAGTTACCTATTGGCCAGTGATCCCATCATCATCTTCTTGATATCTGGATCAGGGATTTTCTTGTATGGACGCATTAGGGTGAGCGTCTATGTTATTTATCTGGATCCTGCTAAGCGTTAGCTGATGTGTGTGAACACAAGGCTGTAGCAATTAAGTCAGACAGGCTAAAAGATACTTAAATATAAACCTGATAATTTGTTAGGTTCCTGGTATTTTTTAATGGAAAATCTATTTTGATATTCAAAGCAGCAATTAGTATGTTTCATTAGAGGAAAATTGTTGCATGATTAGTGCAATAAAAAAAAAAATTGCCAGAGGGCACACAATTAGGCCCAAAGGCATTATTTTAATGCACTAATTGCTCTAGTGCAACAATTTTTCAAGTATATTGTAGTATATTGAAAATGACGAAAAGCTAGCCAGAGTAAATGTAATATTTAGTAAGTAGGCCAAGGCTAGGCCATGGAGGTTGATTAAGATGTATCATGTCAAAAAATCAATGTGTTGAACTGTAGCATGTGTAAAAAAGTGGTATTTTGTCTTTTGATGGACAGAAAACAACATCACGATTGACTTCAATAGATTTTTTTTTTTGCATTCTTCTTAACGCTAACAATCGATTCTATGAAACATGGACACATTTTTACCGGCCTTTGAAGCAGTCATGTTTGAATAGTATTGATACGTCATATATTGTTGTCTCTTCTGTGGGGTTGTTGAGCTGTGATTTTTTTTTTTTTTAGACATCTGTATTCGTGCTGTAATAAGCAGGACTGCTAGGTTGTTGCTACTGTGAAGTGGTTTGGCGCATTGAAAATGGTTTGGTTTCCCAATCTAGGTTTCAATCCTTTGCAGTGCATTTTGCATGTGTACTTGAGCAAAACAAAAAGGGAATTTTATTCCTAATATAATTAGTGTAAATAATGTCAAATAATGAATCATCATCTGTCTGATCTGTACCCATTTCAAAGAATGCCACTTTCTTTTGATCCATGCGATGATGTTTAGGATTTGCATACAATTTGATGCAGTAATTTAACTAGACACGTATTCTAAAAGTAATCATTAAAAATCACTGATGTATCAGGATATTTTGGAAAGAATTTACGGTATATTAGGGACGTAAGCTGATAATAATGCTCATTCCTAAAGCATGCATCCGCATGTCGGCACATAAGCACATACTGTTGTTCCACTTCTATTACAGTAGAAGCGTTGATTCTAATATTTGAACCATTTAGACACAAACGCATCTACATTAAAAGACATTTTAAAACACATTAACGTTTCATAACACAATAAATCTTACCAGTTTGCATGTTAAAGCATTTATCATTCACCTGAAGAAGTGCACAAAATGTGCATGAAAGCTTGTGTATCAATAAATAACCAGTTTTTAAAGTGCTGCCTATTTTTCACTATCAGTGCATAATGTGACAGTTGATACTATATACTGTAAGCTATTTTACTTCTGTCAAGGAATGTTCTATGTTCAGGTCAAAACTGAATCGCTCACACATAGTGGAGCTGTGGTTAAGCTAGGGTGAGGCTTTTTTTATACCTAGTTAAGCGAGCCTGTCGCCCGCCAATAATGATGATATCGAATAAAAATAAACATTTATTTTTGGCCAATTACAGTAGTGCGTGGTTTAACACACACACACAATAGCTTCCACAAGTCGATTTAAATTTTGTGAGCAAAATAATAAAGGATTTCATGTATATTGAGTAGAATGACTTAAGTTGAGAAAAGTAGAGAAAATTGAGGCCATTTCGAATTTGGCTGACACAAATTTTAAACATAATGTATCTTTTATTTTGTTTGTCAGATTGTGTGTAAAAAGGATATTAGTTGATAGATTTATTGTCATTTCGAGTTGTCCAAATTGTAATTAATTCTAAATACAATGCACTAATGTTTTGAGACTGATAATAGCTCAATGTCTCATGTTGCACATTTACCAGACGGCATTTAGATTTATCTTACTTTGATCTGACTATGCTAAAATGGATGATGCTCAAAAAGTGTTTTAATAGTGTTTATTGAAATATGTAGCAAGTTGAAACTCAGAGAAGTCATGATAAAGTCATGGACATTAATCTTAAAATGCTTAAGTCTGCCTGACTGTCATCGAGCATCTCACACTCTTGATTTCGTCTTTGACCAGTCTTTGAAAACTGTAAACCAATTTTCTAAAGTGTGTGCTCAACAATTAATCTGCATCTCTAAATCTACTGTATGGCGTATCTAGTTTTTTATATCTGTGCTGGTTAGTCGACCGCACACACTAGCCTCAGGCTTAATATCTCACTGTACATGTGTGCATGTGTCTGCATATACACACCATCTGTTAAAATGACAATGCCACACATTTTAAGTGATGCTTTAAAATAAATTCATATTTAATATTAATACTAATTATAATATTTATTTGGCAAATACAGTATACAGAAGTGAAACAACATAGTTTGCCCAAATAAGGAATGGGTAAAAGAAAAATTAATCAGAAAAATAAAAAGACATGAAATGCTTAACTAAATCATTCTTAAAATAAGAGATGTTTTCAAGTTTTGAACTAAGAGGCTGTTCTTCCCAGATACCTTTAAGTGATGAGTCTAGTGGCCGAGCGGTAAGACAGAGCCGCTTCTCACCCAGGGTTTGGTTCGTAGAACCAAGTCTTCTCAGATAAGGACTTAAAATGGAGGTCCAATGTACACATCTGACTTGTGTGAACTTTAAGTAACCCATATTGCATCTGTCGGAAGAGTAGGGATTACCCTGATGCTATGTTTCATTTCAACCCCAGTCATTGTGGAATGATGGGAACATGTAGCTACTATAAGCACCTCTTTGTGGCTGCTAGGTAGTCATGGACCATGCTCATACACAATTCAGCACAGTGACGCTGGGATTTATGGATTACAGTATTCTCCTACCTTTAAGTTTACCTTTACCTTTGACAGCTACAAATATGTTTCTGAATACTGTACTATATTTAATGACATTGTGTGACACAAGATAAAAGTCTGTGTTGACATTTTATTGGAACATATAATCTTGAAATTTCACAAAAAATGTTGCTACCTTTAGCAGTTTTCTTAATCTATAGATATTTGAATATCCTGTAGTGATAGTGTAGTATTTAGTTGTTTCCGGGTGCTTTCCTATGGAAAAGATACCAGATATCTGACCATTACATATGGATTTATATACTGTAGTAGTGGAAAATCTTTGAATTCATATAGTAACTTTATTGCCATAAAACTTTGCTTAAATAAATATTTGACTTCCTCAGATGTACTATCGCCAGAAAGGATTACGACTTCCAACAAGGCCCCAAGCTATCCATGAAACGTTTGAGCAGTGTGCTGATATTATTGTCACCAAATTGCAGTTATACTACACGCAAGCTGACAACTACCACAACCATTGCTTACAAGGTAAGTAAGCAGGACATTTGCAGTTAAAGCGATACTTTTTTTTATACCTTGTTTAGCAACCCGCCACCCACCAATAATGATGATTTCAAATAAAAATAACATTTTATTTTTGCCCAAATAGTACACCCGCCGCCATAAAAAAGATACTGTATGTGTATTCCTTCCTAATTATATAAATTTAAAGCATTTATCCATCCCATTACTACACTGTTTACATTCTCCAATAACATTTTATTTTCTCCTCTGTATGTTTTGGCAAAACTTTTTGTTAAATTATAAAAATTTTTATTTTTTTCTGCCCTTCCTCTGTTGATCTTAAAATAAATAAGTTTGCGAAACAAGGTATAAAAAATGTCTCTTCTAACATAATATATTGCACTAAATTAATATAGCATTCTAACATTTTAATTATTCAATCATTATTTCTACTTTACAGCTCAATGCACCATGTATTCTCTTCATATATTAGTCATAAATAGATAGATTGATTAACTGGATAACAAGTAAAATGATTTGTTTTAAATAATAAATTAAGTTAAATTGATTAATGATTATATTTAATTTATTTTAAATTTATTCTTTATATTGGATACCAAATAGACTATCCAATTATAAGGAATAAATTGATAAGTTTATATAATACAAAATTTGTTGAATTTATTTTAAATACGTATTACCTGGACTCCATTGGAAATGAGTTTGGTGTACAAACACTAGACTTTATAATGGGTCATCCAGGCATTCAATTAATTATTTCTCTCTTTTATATTTTTATGTATTTTCTCATAAATTTCTTGTATTGTGTGAAATTGAATGCAAATTAAATAAAATCAAAATACCGTACGTGTATAAAATAATAAATTGATATTGTTTTTCTATATATACTAGATACTTTCCACTATAAGGAATAAATAAATTTTAACTTATTTTGAAATTATTCCTGATTGATACTGGATACTGAATAGACTATCCAATTTACAGGAATAAATTATACATTTATTTATATAATAAAAAAAATTAATAAATAAATTTAATTTATTTAAATTACGTATCAATTTATCCTTTGAACAGGATACTATCAGTATAGGTAATATACTATACAGTACGTGTATAAAATAATAAAGTGATAATTTTTTTTTTGTATACCTATTAATTTATTCTTTATACTGGATGCTGAATATACTATCCAGTATAAGGAATAAGTTTTAAATGTGTATAAAGCAATAAATTAATATATTTATTTTATAAATATTTTTCGATGTATTTCTTATTTGGGATACTGAATAAACTCTACAGAAATAAATTAATATTGTGTATAAAACAATATATTTAATTTTTATTATAATATACCTATCAGTTTATTACTTACAATGTATTCGGAATACAATCTGACAATCTCCTGCCACTGGTGGCAGTCATGCACCACCCTCTGGGATCTGGCAAATGACAGCCCTGGATTTCGTTATTCGATATACAATAATAAATTAATAAATATGTTTTATTATTGAAAATACATGTAAAATAACTGACTGGAGAAATTCTTGATTGAAGACTTCAGGTATTCTACTTAAATTAACACATTTAATAAATTTTCAGCTGGAAATGAAATTAACTTTAGAAAGGACAAAACAATCCTATGGAACAGTACACCTAGTTTTTACAGCAAATGCTCATTTTAAACTGTACTTTTTAAAATTTTTTTAAACATATTTTTTACAGCTGTAGAACAGTTTTATTAATAATAAACCAAGCACAATCAATGAAACTATTTGAAATTTTATATAGTCTGATCATTTTCAGGGGTCACGGTGGATCCAGATATGTCCGAAAATTTCCAAAAGTGTGGGGGCAGGGCCTCCTAAATCCGCCCTAAAACTTAAAAAGCCTTGTAACTTTTTGACTTTCGGAGTACTGTTCGTACTATAGAAACAAAACATGAATTTGATGAGTAATATCAAAATTGCATAAAATATGAGAGTATTGATACTGATCTAATGTAATTGCTACCTATGAAAAGGTGCATTTAATGTATTATCGGGTTACATCAACAATATTATGAACTAAGTGCCTTTTAAAAATTACTTTGATGTACATTTTTATTCATTTTGCCAATGCATATCTCTTCAATTAATACATAGATCACTTTAATGAACCAACATGAAGTGCCAATATTAATTGCTTGGGCTGATTATGAAAAGTGCCGAATGCTTAGGCTGATTTCAACAAAAATTGTTCAGTGGCTAATGTTATATACTGTATGAGTCATTTAGTGATCAATAAAGGTCAGATTCTCTGTTAACCTTTCAAAATGCTTCTTCAGCCAAACACTATTGCCGATGTCAAACAAAGTCGGTCAGTAGAATCGAAAAGAAATGAGAAATGCCTTAACGGTATACGGCTTAATTTGGATGTCTGTACAGGTAGTCAATACAGAGGTAGGTGGATGACTTTAAAGAAAAGATTCTGTAGTGTATTGGTATTCTTTCAAGTAAAGTAAAGTGTTTTGAAGGTGAAAGGTTGATGGTCAAAGATCAAAGGTCAGATTTTCAACATGGTTTGATTGAGTTTAAATTTCTTCAGGAATGATTCCTGTGACATTTTAAATTTGTTAAATATTTGAGTCTAGGTTAGGCCCAGGCTAGCCCAATTAATTAGCCTAAGGTTTGCTGGGCTTTGTAATTATTCTTAAATTCTTACATTTTATATGACATACAAGCAATAATTATTTTCATATTAGTTTCATTCATAAACAATGTTTGAAACACATTGTTCCTATTTGAACCTGCATCCCTCAAAAAATTAACAAGTGATTATGTTCTTTTCTGTCAATGAGGTCGGGAGTAGCTTCATGAAACGAACATCGTCAGAGTCAGAACGAAATGTTGGGAACTACTCGCTGGTTTCTGGGAGGCTAGTACAAATGATACCGCTATGCACTGTTACGATATGATTTCAGAATAAAAAAAATATGAAATTACTGTAATGTGTGCTATAAGACATGAGTTGTATTGTATTTGGAATTATTTGGACGTGCATAATATTGCATGCTTTGTTTAAGTACTAGTACTAGGCCGTGAGTATGGTAGTTAGGGCTTCAGCCTAGAATATTATTTAAGGTCATTATCAGTTTTTATTTGTCACCATAATAATGAAATGATTGATTGAATATCGTTTTTTGTATGTATTTTATGACTGATTACGAATCAATTCAATAAATATATTTACTAAGTATTTTATCATATTCAGTTTGAATAAATTTAACTAAAATGGTTGTTGAAAGTAACACATGGTAATTCTCTCACCGCCGCAAACCTTATCTAGGTGGTCTACTTTGTTGGCTTTGGTGTTTAATTTCAAGATTTTAACATTCTTATTTAGATTTATATTACTTAACAAATGAAAGTTAGCTTCATAAGGGCATCGAGGCCAAGGCTGCAAAAGGGCAGGCAAGGAGTGGCTGTGGCTGTGCTTCATTTTCAAAGGTACCAGGGTCAACTGGGAGGGGGCCGTCGGCAATGGCTATGGTGGCCCTGGTCAAATTTGAGTCTTAGACATTCTATGCTAAAATAGTTTTGAAATACTGTATGCTATTAATGTTGTGTGTTGAGGGATAATGTCTGTGCTGTGCGTGCACAATGCTTTCTATACAGTACATCAATTAAACCTGTTGCTACTGTAACTGATAATTACAAAATTAGAACTTGCAAGAACATACAGCTATTTGAAGACCTTATAATTTTCTTATTTTTTTTAACGTTAGTTTTTCAAGTACTGTATGTAGGTTTCGTCAATATTTTATGAATTTTTGTGGTGGGAATAAATTATTGATTTAACATAAAGCTGTAATGAAAGGAATTTCATAAAGGCTGATTAAATTGATACAATAATATAAATATTGTGTATTATTGAGATAATTTTCCACTTAAAAATCTAATTAAGGCAGAATGCTAATAAATCTTCTTTAAGGATATTGTGTAATCAAATAATCATTATAATCATAAGAAAGGAGAATAGATTACAATGCTCTTGTATACAGGGATGTAGCTATGGTGGGTGGAGGTGGGCTGGGCAACCCAGCCTTTTAAATTTTTCACCCAGTCCACAGCTAATTTCATGGCCCTCCACTCGCATTTATTAACCCCTCTGCCTGTCTTTACAATCCACTACTATTAATAATTAGTGTTCACCAGATGTTATCACCCATCCCACCCTTACAGTAAAATGTCTACCACCCACCCATAAGAAATGTCTACTATGACCCAGCCTTAAAATGTCTGCACGCTGATAGTAATGAAAAGTTTTTTCATCCAATTCTCATTTGTCATCACCAGTAATTTTTCCCAATATTTTTCTGAATTTCTCAATTTCCACTCTGTTTTCATAAGCACCCTGTTTGAATAAGCGCCCCTTAAAAAGTGCAAAAAATACTTTAAGCACCCGGGCGCTTATTCACGCAAGTTCAGTAACTACCGTATATTTTTTGCGTTTAAAGCAATCTGCATACAAGACGATCCCCGAGTTTGAGAAGATTTTTAGACAATTTTTGTATGTCGGACCCCCTTGTTTGACCGTCGGAATTCCTAATTTTTGCTGCTCTTCATACTGCACCTAGCTGCTAAAAACGAAGACAAATGTAGGGCTAATCTTCCAAATTCCATACCATTTTATGGGATTTATGTTCATCAAAATCTTATTTCTCCTCATTAATTGCATTCATTCATGCTAACAGCTTGTAGCTTCATTCAGTGGTAACTATGCGTGTTTTATGTACAATCTACACATAAAACGAGCATGATTTAAGAATGTACATTTATAATGTTGCGCATATAAAACCACCCCCTGTTTTTCGATTGTAATTTGCTATTTTAATTCTTGTCTTATTTATACATGAGAATATACAGTATGCAAAAGTTGTAGTGTAGATATTTATAAGTATTGCAAATAACCTCATATTCCATTCCATCCATTTAGATTGAATGTACAGTTGAAAGGTGTAAACTTGCCTTGAACAATTTTCAAAATTCAAAATTAAAGTGCCATTTTCCTTTTACTAAGTATTGAACTGCAGTCTTGAACCACTTTGCTCAATTAAACTTGTGTATGCATTTTAACTCTTAATTAACATTGCTAGATAGAAATCTTTCTTTATTCTGGATACTCAATATATGTCCATATAAGATTATAGACATTATACACGCATGCATCTACATCTACCAATGCTGGGCCTTTAAAAGTACATGAAAGTGAGAGAATTAACCAGAAGTATTATTGTCATTACGTAGGTCCTCTCTGACATCAATATTTTCATTTTCATTAATACAGATTATTAATATATGGACTAATGTGGATATGTTTGGATAAGTGTATTGTTTCAAAGGGCACCTGTAGTTGCATTTTTGCCTTTGGTGTTTCAAAGTGCTTTCAACTTATTACCTTATGTTTTTTTATCATGTTGCCTATAATAACTGACAGTCAGTTCTGTTATTTATACTGTTATTGATATCATCTGAAATAATGAATTGTCAATCCAGCATTTTCATCAGCAATCAGCTAAAAAAAAATTCCATTTCACTGATTTCCATTGAAGTTCAGAGAAGTGATGAGTGATCAATCAGGATAACACTGTAATTGTCAAGCAAGTATCAGCTAGTCAAGTATAGGCGACCCATTTTTAAAAGGCTAATACTCTTTAAAAATTAATTCATGGTGTTCTGAATACAATAACAACAAAAAAAAAAAAACATAAAATATGTAAAATCAAAATACATATTGAAAATTTAAATTAATATACATTGGGCAAGACTTTTTAATACCTTGTTCAGCGTAGTTATGTTCTTTAAAGGTTGGCAGAGGTGGAAAATATGATAAAAATTAAGTTTTGTTTGTTAATTTAGCAAAATGATTTTGTAAAATGTAAAATTGTATTGATGAATTTAAACAGTGTACTAATGAGATTGATAAATGCTTTATATTTATATAATTAAGAAATATATTTTTGGAGATTTCATGGGAGCGACGAGAGTTAATAGAAATCAATAAAAAAAAATGATTTCAGAAATTTCCTTTTTTTTGTGTGGCAGAGGGTGCACTAACCAGCGAAAAATAAAATTATTTTTATTTGAAAAATACCATTATTGGCGGTCGTTGTTCGCTAAACAAAGTCTTGTCTTAAGATTGATCTCCACTGGTATATGTTACAACAAAATAGCGTACTGTAAGTGTTTTTTTCATTTATTTTCCATGCCTCTGTTTCATATTTTGTTTGGTGGGTTGGGGGTGCACAATGCAATCATAAGAAATGCAGAACAATAACTGTTATCATAGTCCATCTACTATTAAAAACTCGGAAATCTTTTTTTTTTTTTAAGATCTCTGAAGCATGATCATAAATTTATTTACAAAGAATTTTCTTTCACCTATAATAGCTCTTATTTCATTATCAATCATATAGAATTCCGTGAACAACTGGAACGTGCTGAGGTGAGTTCGTCTCATGTACCACCTCTGATAATATCAGAAGTCTTAAAAGAGCACAGAGGATTGTTCACAGGCAAGAGGGCCGACCTGGACCACATCTTCAACAAGTCTCTTCTTCGCTGGAAACATCAGATGGTCAGTCAGCTTTTAAAACAAATTTCTTGATAGTATCAATCTAATTTACAGTGAATGGTATTTGCTATTTATTTACTCAATTTACCCAGAAATAATTACTTATTACATTGTGTCAGCTGACTGCCTGATGACAATGTAATGACATCTTCAACAAGTCTCTTCTTCGCTGGAAACATCAGATGGTCAGTCAGCTTTTTAAAAAAATTCTTAATGCTATCAATCAAATTTAGAGTAAATGGTATTTGAGATTTATCTTCTCAATTTAATAATAATTAATCAAATAATTACTTATTACATTGTGTCAGCTGACTGCTGCTGATAATGTATGTGATTATATAAAAAAATTGCTTAATTAAAAGCAAAGTTATTACCGATAGTTAAACAAAAAATTTATTTAAACTGCAAAGGATACATTGTCAATGTCAAACAAATTGTGTAAACAATTAAAAAAAATTACCTAAAATACAATTACAAAATCATCAAAATCATTAATTATCTTATAAACTGTTACAGTTTCAGGCTTTTTCTGCACCAACGGAAAGCCATTGTTTTTGTTCTGCGGTTTGTTTTTTTTCTACGCCCCTCCCCGTCTATTGTTGGACAAATTTAATTATGAACATTGTAGAAATTGTAACATTTTATTTTACGTTTTATTGTAGTCAGGCATGCCCACAGCTTGAGTACTGCTCTCATTTTCTGGGCATGCTTCAAAATCAATGCCTCATTCACAATTACCAACTTGATCAATTCAGACCTTTCAACACAGGCATGGTTTTGCTGCCCCCTCCGATTTTTTTAGCGTTGTTCTGCTGTGATTGGCACATTCATTCCACCCTATTGTATTCCAACCAAGTCCAAACCTGGAAGAGTTTACAGGGTCTACCTTAGGACTCATGTCAAGACCTAACTCATGTTCATATCAGTGCTCACTACCACTCTCCCCTTCGCATAATTTCCCTAGTAAGGAGTTGCGAAGTACACATTCAAAATCAAAGTCAACTCGACACTCTTCCACTTGTTATTATTGTTTTGTTCGGATATTTTAACCTGTGGTTGATCTTCCACCATTCACTTTTCCTGATTCCCACAATCGACTGGCTCAATATCTCATTCTTATCTTTCTCTCTCCATTTGCCTTAAAACCCATTTAGGATTTTACCTTCTCTTAGCATAATATATTGGAAATTGAAATTGAAAAGTTAGAATTTCATGGCACAGAACTAATAACAAAGTAGGCCTATTAGCATTACCATTATTGCATAATTACTTTGCAGATGCAAGATTTTTTTTTCTATTAAAATTTATTATAATGCCAATTTTTTTTTTAAATGTTTTTTTTTTAAATAAAAAATGGGATTTCATTTTTAGGATTCGCACAAAACACTGCTAAGGCCAACACTGGGTCACCCACATCAAGCCACTAAGCTGGCTGAACTCTGTGAAAATGAAGCTAAGAGACATGAAGAATATATTGATGGAGTTGAAAAACAGGCAAACACTTTGAAGGTAACTGATCCATTATCACTGTGATGACTACTAACAATAATTATGCTGATAATGGATGATAAATAATTCTGAACCATCTTCACATCCATTAAAATGATGAAATATTATCAGAATTAAGTAAACAGAATTATTTGCTTGGTATGTAGTGGCACTGACGTGGCATTAATGTTAGGGGTTTGTATATTTGCTTGTTGTGGGTGCAGGGATGTTAATGATGATTAGCTGATGATGATAATGAATATAATGATGATGATGATGGGATTGTGCAATAATGGTGGTGGTGATGATAACACAAACAATGATGGCAATGACTTCGATAGCGATGATTGACAATGATAATGATGGCAGTATGGTGTTGGTAATGTAGTGTTGATGAAAGTAGCATTGATGGTGGTGATGGTGTGGTGGTGGTGGTGATATACAGGACGATGATGGTGGGGATAGCAGTGAAGCCAATGAAGATGGCAGTGACTAGAGATGGTAATAAAGGTGACAATGAATTCAATTGAAGTGATGGTGATGATAACACAAACAACGATGGCAATGACTTTGACGACAGCGATGATTGACAACGGCAATGACAATAATAATGATGGCAGTATAGTGTTGTTTATGTAGTGTTGATGACAGTAGCATTGAAGGTGGTTATGGGTTGGTGGTGATGATAGACAAGACGATGATGGTGGGGATGGCGGTGAAGCCAATGAAGATGGCGGTGACTAGCGATGGTAATAAAGGTGATATTGATTCCAATCTGTGTACAGTAGATTGGAGGTGGAGGAATACATCTACTTGATGACAGTAGCTTTGTTGTTACTTTTATTTCTTTCTGGCAACTTCTTTTTACTTTGTTATTGTATACTTAAAATGTCGCGTTGTTTTTGCCTGAATAAATATTAGTAATTATAATAAAATAATTATTATAATTATTAATATTTATTCATAATTATAATAAAATAATGATGATGGCAATATATTGAGGAGTACAGTAATATTGCAATTAATTATTTCTGGCTTCCTCACCTTTAACAGTTTATATAGTTATATCTTATGGTTATAATGTTAGGAATCTGTTTAACAATGTATTGCGAGGGGAACATAATCACACTGGGTTTTTTTTGGGGTGTTTCTTTAGGAATGTGCGTATGACTTGGGAGCTGATTTCATAAACAAATTGGCTTGTCTGTCTGAGCAGGTGCTTCTACTCTTTGACAAGTTACTCACTGTTGATGAGGTGCATACTGCAAGTAAGCCATTATTATATTTCATCACATTTCACATTCATTTTCCATTTAGTTCCTATAAATGCACATTAACGTTATTATTTATAACAATCATCATCACCACCATCATTAGCATTTACCATTACCCTACCATTATCATTGCAGCCCACGAATCTCGATAGTGCCAGTTTTGTTTGCTGCACATAATTTCTCTCTATTCCAATTTCGGAATAGCCATATGTTCTGTTTTACAAACAGAAATATATTTGGTTGTAATTGTAGTTTATTATGTGCTCTTTACTAAAAATGCTGCCTATCACAATTATCAATGCTGTTTATTTAGTCAGAATTATAATTACTATTTTACCATATTGATTTCATCTTTTATTATTAGTGAATCATGAGTATAGCTGTAGTGGGTAATTGATTTAGCACTTAACAGTAATTTTGTTAAAGCCGATGGTTATAACTGAAGCCCTTCGGCTGGGACATTAAGCTTTTAGTTTGTGCTCGAACTGTACATATTGTTATGCATATAAAAGTTAATCCACATACATTTGACCAAATTTGTAGTTTGAGTCTTTTTTTAGAGCTTGTCAAGTTCAAGGTCTAATATTTTTTTAAAGGAAACAATTTTCAAAATTCCACTTAAACACAGTAAAAACATTATATTGTTAACAATCTCACTAAAATTGCTTTCTTTGGTTTTAATAAGTTTTGGCTTTCTAGCTTAAATTTATTGTACATCTTCTCTAACACTCCCTAGACCACCGCCAAAGACTTAAGCCAGGCACTCACTGCGTCCGGCGGTCATTGGCCGACGCGATTCTATGAAGAGCGCAACGCGACGACGCACGCGCAACCGATCGTTTTTAATGAAGATCCGTTCAGACTGGCACCAACAATCAGCAAACGGCGTCACGTCGTCTAGCGCTCACAGGGAGCGGAATTGGATTAGTCGCGCGACGGTCATACGACGGAGGGAGTGTCTGGCTTTAAGGACTGTTTTGGTAGTGCAGGCTTTGTCTCTTGGCGGCATTTTCCTTAAAATTGACTGCATAAAGTCTTAACCTATATTATAGTAATGCATATGCATATAAGAACCATGAACACAACTCGGTCAGACAGTGATATTGTTTTGATGGTGTACAGATCAATACACATCCTGCTGTATGTGTGTATATGTCTAAGTTTTAAACAGTATGAAGAATGCTGCCTACTTATAACAGAGTGATCAATAAACCGATTCCGCGAGGTTTACAGCTGGTCATGTGACATAGTGGGTATAACTATGGAGAACTTACAATGTGAAAGTATAGGAAAAGGTAATGTTATGGTTGTAAAACCATAAACGTCCACTATTATTGTGAGAAATAACTAGCAATTGTTCCAAATAGTGTTTATTTACTTATTTTAGCGTTCTCTATGCTTTGTATGCTTTGGAATTTATGTGATTATTTGTAAATCTTAGAAATTGCTAGCCTAGAAATTGTAGCATGTCAAAATCCCAGTTCGCGGATTGAAGACTTGTGCATACCTGGCCATAGATATGCAGGGGCCTGGCCTAGCATTTCTCAAAAAATCTCAATTTTTATGGCCAGTATCTATTGGAGCATTAGCAAACCATTATAAAAAAAATTCTCAAGTTAAATTTTTAATCAATTTGGTATAGTTTATTTTTTTTTATTTATTTTTTTTTATTTATTCGGTATAAAAAACACACAAATTATAAACAGCAGCCAAGGCTGAAATGGTTTGTATAACAATTTAAAAAGACAAATACAAAAAGATTCATAAAAAAATCCTCAATATCAATATTCAAAAATCAATATAAAAATGGCATTCCAACCAACATTATTCCACACCAAATATGTGCTTTGCAGCGGAAACACTCTGAAGAAGCCACACGTTTTCCTATTACTGAGCGTCACTCGTACTGCATATACGTCACATTACCAACCTAGCGGAATCGGTCTATTCACGATCCTTTGTCTAGATTATTAGTAATAAGTAACATTATTATATTAGGGGTGGAAAAAAAGAAACTGAAAACAAGTACATTGATACGGCGAAAACAGGCTGATATGGCCTTGGAAGACACCGAATACGAACCGCTGATACAACGAGGTAGCAAAGTATGGCCTGGAGTCGCCAAGAACCTCATGATGGAAGGAACAACACCGGATGATACAAATTTCACTGCTTCTGTAACCACTGCTAAAACAACACTTGGTCACCAGAAACTAATCACAAGTAGAGACAATGCTTTCAAGGTCAGGCTTTAATAAAATTTACTTTCTTTTGAAACAACATTTTAATAATTAAACGTATATTTTCTTTTGTTTTTTTATAATTACAGCACTTATATCACATCAATACAGAATTTAAATTTAAGAAAACCCCCAAAATAATGATATGATATGATATGATATGTTTATCTTTGCATTTTTACTTACATTAAATGCTGACAGCCCAAAGTGCTGTATGGTAAAGTAACTACTCTACCCAGCCGTCATAAAGAGACGCTTTTATAGTAAAGGTAAAGGTAGGAGAATAACCCATAACTTGCAGCGTCATTGTGCTGAATTGCGTATGGACGTGGTCCGTGACTAGTAGCCGCCACAAAGAGGCGCTTCATGGTAGCTACATGTTCACGTCATTCCACAATGACAGGGGCTGAAATGAACCATAACATCAGGGTAACCCCCTACTCTTCCGGAAGATGCAATGAGTTCTTGAAAGTGCACACGAGCCAGATGTATACATGGACCTCCATTTTAAGTTCTTATCCAAGAAGACTTGGTTTTACCAACTGAACCATGGGCGAGGAGCAGCTAGAACCAGCGCTCATGTTAAGGCTGTAGCTAGCTGAGCCCCGGCCTGCTTGACCACTCGACTTTAGTAGCTTCATTTACATCATTCCACGACAGGGATGAAATAAACAATTGCAGTAAACTCCCTACTCTTCTGAAGGATGCAATAGGTTCTTTAAAGTGCGCATGAGCCAGATGTGTAGACTGGACCTCCAGTTGTAAGTCCTTATCCGAGAAGACTCAATTCTACTAACCGAATACTAGCTGTAGTTAGCGGAACTTCTGCTTTAACACTTGGCCACTTAACTCAAAATTTTAGATATACATTGTGCATAATAAATATGATAAAGAATGATGAAGAAGCTAGTGAATTTCAACCTCTATGTGAATGTTGTTTGAGGTGAGTACCTTGATTGGATGTTAGCCATTGATGCTGCTCAAACTCTCTGTGCTTGCAAAAAATAAACTTGCACAATATTTGGAAAAGGGTAAGCGATTATTTCCTGGTGTATTAATTCATCCATTCGTTATCATTTTATGTTTTTGTTGTGTTGTGTGAATAGGATTGATTAAAGTGTGATATATTCACTATTGACATTCCGTGGACCACATGTCTAAATATATAAATCAAATGAAATTAAATCATTCACCTACTGAACTCAATTAATTGAATGTTTCCAAGTTTAAGGAGGGAGCACTGCTTGTGTTAATATATACGCACATGACTGATAATATAGCACATGTGAACTGCTACACTGGGGGCGGGTTAAATCCCCACCCCCACCGGACAGAGTTCCTCAGGCAGTTGGACTAAAAAATATATAAAAATAGGCCCACGCCAAGGCAACACATGTCTGACACAATCAGAAAGTGTAATTTCTGACCACCCAGGTTCCCATTCTTAAAAAAATCTCATTTGGGAGGGGGAACACCCTCTCAAACCCTACCCCCAGCTCAGGCCTACAAGCCCAAGTCTCCCCCACTAAGTCTTACAATTTGTTTTACATCAAAATATATTAAATTCAAGAAATTTAAATTTAATGAATGAAAAAATATACAAATACAACTTGGATTAGGGTTAAGTAGTGAATAGTAGTAGTAACATTTCATTGGCCAATTCTACTTTGTATGCGGTGTGGTAGTTTTGATAACTTTCCCGTGCGTGGGAAAAAAACACTACCTAAATTTGACTACCGCACCTAAAATCATGTGGTATTTGTATACTGTCCCTTGGTGTTAGATGATTGGAACTACCTCCCAATGCGACGCGGTGGGAGATAGTCCCAATCATCTAACAACGAGGGAAAAAATTTACTGCTTTACCTAATTAATACCATGATTGCGGTATTTGTTTTACTCTACCTCCTCATAAATATTAAGCAGCAAACAGACCGTATACATTAGCCATTTCGATCGATGAGGGTAAAATTACAGTTTGCATATGGTTCTAGTAGCCAGGGGTGCGCTAGTAGATTTCAGGTGCACTACTTCCAGCATCTGTGTAAAATATGCATGCACTGGGAAGAAGTCAAAACTACTGCACCGCGTACCAAGCGGAATTGACCAATTAAATGTTTCTACTACCTAATGAATATTTAAATATTTATGAGGTATAGTAATAGGATATATACCAGATATGAATGCTGTTTGATATTACTGTAATGATATTACAAATCATTATTATAGTATGTTTACATTATGTGTTGAAAAATAATACTGTATGCACAAACAATGACAATGGTGTTGTGATCAATAATAATAAAGTTTGTTTTTTTTCAGGAATATCTGCAAGATTTTGAAAGAAATCTTGCAGAGATAGCAAAGCAGAGGGAGGAACAGCTAATGGTTGAACAGCGTTGGGATGAAAGTTGGCAACGTTCAGTTATGAAGGTTAAGGATCTGTATTGAAATGCACAATATAAATTCATGCCTAGATGCAATGGAAGTACCTCTTGTTTTTGTAATCAGTAACTACTTTATTAAAATTATATACAGATGATAAATATTTACTCAAGGGATTAAGCAACTTGAGCTCAAAGCACAGGCAATGTACATCATACTAATAAATAAATATATATATATTGCTATTTGCTCTTAATGAATTAGCACAGTTGAACCTAAGATGGCATTAAAAAATTGTTTGACTTTAGATAAAATTAGACTTTACAGATTGTTAATTAATGAAAAAAAAAATTGGCATGTAAAATAAGATCGATATTATTATTATTAGGCAAGTTTAACTGTATATAAATACTACAATGTATGTATTTATGTATTTATGCTGTACATACATAAATATGTGTAACTGGTAGTCTTGCTTTAAATCCTGATGTGTACAGCGCAGTTTGTCAGAACTTCTTCTATTTAATCTTAGACCATTCCATTCAATATTTTAATATAAAGTTTTACAAATTTATATTTACCTTCGGTTGTTATTGTAAAAATTACATAAACATTGTTTTGTATAATATAATGGTTGTTGCAGTGATTGTTATTCCGTCCATTTTTAATTAAGCATTCCATCATTTCTTCCATTAGAAGTTTAATTTAAGTTTATGATGCTAATAAATTAATGTTTATGTATAGTTTACATAAATGGTTTTGGTTTATTCTTTTTTTTTTTTGTACAGAATTTACATTGAAATTTCATTTGTGTTTATATGATTGTTTTGTTGGGCTTTATTGAGATTGGAGCCTTATGAACTGAAGTTTAATAAAACTTTAATTGAATTTGTAGTTTAGAAATGTTGTTAATGCATATGTTATGTTGTATGGCTGGGCAGGCAGAAAGCATGCTTTGTGTCCTAATCTGCATATCATTTTCCATTATTATTTATGGACCAAGATAATGTTTTATAATATAGTGGTTGAGTATTAATCAAAATTTGAATTTTAACTGAATCCTCTTTAAGTATGTTGTCTCAATAAGGTAGTCTAATCCAGAGTGGATTTCAAGGTTGTGTAATCTAGAGGGATCTACATCCTGATTTTTTTCTACATCCTCTCAATATTTATTCATCTTAATGTCATCATTTTTATACTGCCATGATGTCATCAAGTTATCAAGTTTACTTAAAATAAAACAAGGGATTAACCAAAATATTTGACATTTAAAAGATTGAACTTCAACTTGTATCTTTTGCAAAATTACCTGCACAATCTAATATTTTTAATGTCATTGTTAAATATATACAACATCCCAAATTAAATTACCATTATTTTATAATAATTTAATCTAGTTCTTAGATTATTTAAATTTAAAACTGTAAATTCATGAATAGAAGCACTCAATAATTTTTTTCAGGAATACATTAACATCATAAAATTATTATAAATTTATTCAAAACAAACGCCATTTTTTGTTGTTGGTTTGACATTATTCTGCTGTTGTTTTTTTCATTTTGATTGTTGACTCTATTGTAAAATTCAGTCGGATGATGTTATAATTGCAATTTAATTAGAATTTGACTTTCAAAAAATTTATCAGATAGTCTGCTGAAATTTTCTAATACCTGAACTCAAAATGGCTTTCAGTATTTCCATTCCTCCACAAACTATCAAAAGTTTATCGAAAGTCACGAAAGGCATACATATATTGTACTAGGATTTGGTTTTTTGGGTTTTTTTTGTTTTTTTGTTTGTTTTTTGCTGGATAAAATAGCAGATATTCTGAATATGTAGAGAATGGAAACCACTTTGGTTTTCCGAAAAGACATCATCTATTTAATTGGTAATATTAAAAATCTACAATCACCGTCAATAATTTGTATGTATTCCTTTTCGTGGATTCATCAATTTAATTGGTAGTATCAGAAACCTACAATCACCACCATCATCATTTAGCAATTCTTTGAAAATATCATAATCACTACATGAACACAATACATAGTACCAACATAATATATTGCTGTAGCTTTTTGGACGTCATCCTTTATGCTACTACCAGACCTTCAACTCTGTCTTCATACCCTAACCTAAATGTTTGCTTTTTATTACATACTTTATCTGTGTCTTTAAGGATTTGCAGACATTCATGCAGAAAGTTATTTATTATTACATGAACCACAAAACCAAAATAACTAAAATCTGCGTTGTCGAAGCCACTGGATTCCATACCAGGCCATCAACCTTGGTCCCTTCTGCTTAAAACCAAGTTGCATATGGGAATTTAAGAAATAGAACAATTTCGTATTAACTAATAATAGATGCACTTAATAATGACAACGATGGCAATTTATTCAACACTCTGAATACTTTGGTATCGATTCAGCTATCAATTCACCAGACAAACAAATAATTTCAAGAAACGCTGCAAGATACGGAACGTAGGAAAATAGTTCTAGAGACGAATGCGGAAAGGTAGTTCGACAGAAAGAAAAAAAAAAGAAAAAATGATAGGTATTAAGAATAATGAAAAGGAGCTAATCAGCAGTGGGGTAAAAAAATGCGCTCTCGTGCGGCGGTCTGCAGGGCCCCCAATCCATAGGGGCTCCAAACCCATTTGATTATAGTGACTTGTTAATAAACAATTGGGTTTTTCAATGAAAATACTAAAAAATAATTTAATTTTATACGGTTAATCATTAGCTTTGATTTTTTAGCATTATATTTGTTGATACATAACAGCCTGATGTATCTATGACATCGATTGTAGGACCAGTGGTGGATTCACTGAGCCACCTTTATTATGAATTTCTAGATCTGCCACCGAGGAATTATATTATATTATATCATTTACTTCGTCGTTAAAAACATTTTATTTAGAATACAATTAACACAAAATAGAAAAAAAAAAACAAGCTCATCGAAAATCTACAGGTCCTCTCGGTGCAAGCGTTACGCCACTTAAGTTAATTGGGATAAAATATGTACTTTTGTGGCACTTAATGAGAGCATAGGCGTCGGTCGGTGGGTGACAGGGGGACACCTTCCCCCACTTTTCAACGTAGGGGAACATCATATCAATTTCCACCCCCCCCCCCCACACTTTTCAGCAATCTTCGATAATCAAAACCCCAGTTTCGAAGCGAGAGGAAAGAATGTCAATTACGCATGACTGTCATGAATTTTGTCTGTTTACTTGTGCTCTTTTCAAAGTGCAGTGCGTATTTCCGGACCAAAATAGAGTAAAAACGTAGTTGTTTGTACATTTCGTAACCATCGTGTTAACCACTCCATCGATGTTATGGGTGAAGCGGTTATCAGAGGCTAAATTTATTGTGAAAACAATGTACTGTAGGTTGTTAAAATTGGAAACGTGTAAACCTATTATGCCAATATTTTTACAAACCCAAAAGTGCAAAATTTCTACTATAAACGATTTTATTTATTTTGTATATAATTATGACCCGTATATTGTTTAATATAATCTGCATACATAGATTCCTGTTTCTCCTAATTTCCAAAAAATATAGTTAGTCGAGTGAATTGTATATACCCGTTTATTAAACTACAATAATACAGCCTATTGACACGGACAGGTCTATCTAATTTGATTTATTTAAGTAGAGATACCACAAGTTTACAAACTCTAATATTACGTTGACGCAATCGTGCAATGACTTCATAATAATCAGTGGCAGGTTCAAGTTGGACTGAGCTGGCCCGGCCCCATCTTCCCTAAATTTTTCAAAATTATTTCAAAAAATGGGGAAAATGGAAAATTAGAAATAGAATTTAGGTCTGAGATTGCCATTTCCGGCCATCAGAGGTGTCATAATCATAAATTTTCTGGTCTCAGCCCCAACCATGGTGGGGCTGAGGTGGTTTAGTTTCCCAAACTGTGAAGGTTCACCCCCCCCCCCCCGTTCTGACTTTCCCCCATCCTCTATTGCGGTTTCCTGAATCCGACACTGATAATGATAAATTAAGTAAATCCCCTTTATGTTTGTGAAATAAAAATTCTAACTACGGTTTTGTGTGCTTCATATCTCCCCATGTTTGATAAAATATGACGGTCTATTTCCACACACAATAGTGTAGTCGCAATAATACTTGCACAAACGAACTTCAAAAAGAGAAGAAAGGGAAAAACCTCTTGATTGATTTTAAATATGTGATACACATGCAAAGAAAATAAATTAATGACTTCTTTAAGTTTATCTTATTTGTTTTTCATGGTTCGAATACGTCACAAGCTAATCAGTAGATAATAAATAATTATTCTTATAAATGCTGATTTGCAAGAAATACATAAGCGGGCATGATTATGATCAGTGGCTGGTTCAGGAATTCAAAATAGAGGGGGTCCGGGGAGGACCTTTCACAGATGGAGGATATATATATTTATCATATTTTTTTCAAAATTTGAAAGAGAAGAAAAGAAAATTATATTCAAATTTAGTCTGAGAGTGCCATTTTCGGCCAACTAGAGGTGCCATAGTTACTAATTTTCTTACATCATACCCAACCATGGTGGGGCTGAGGTGGTCTACACCCTCCATCTGTAAAAGACCCTCCCTCCCCCTCCCCCCATTTCAAATTCCTGGATCCGCCACTGTATTTTGAAAACACGTAGTGTGGAAATAAATGTTAATTGCATTCTTTAAAATCAATTAGATAAGAATTATAAAATCCTATAAGCGCCAGAGCTTCCAGACCCCACTGAATCTCTTGGCAGCTCCCTGGCCCCAAAGCGTTGTATTTTTTACATATATTAATGGACTCGATGAAATAAGCCTTTGAAACCCCGAAATCCTGGCGCCGCCCATGAATGAGAGAGAAAGTATTTAACTAGTAACAATTCCAGTGTGATCAACGGGGAAAGGGCAGAATGAAGAGAGGGCATAGACAGCTTTTGGTGTTGCTTAAAACGGAAGCTACGCATGTTGAAATAGATATCTTTTTGGAAGTTCTAGCACCTATGCTACAAGGCATGGCACCTGAAGAAAAAAACAATTCAAGAATCGACAGCCAGAGAATGTTTGCAGCACTGTTGCAGCTTATGTCGAAGATCGCAGCCCAAGCCAAATTTATGCTGTGCGTACGTGGTCTTGGTTCGAATCCTGATGTTAGTAAACTTATCCTATTTAATCTTAGACCATACAATTCAATATTTTAATATAAAGTTTTACAAATTTAGATTTACATTCGGTGATTATTGTAAAAATTACATAGGCATTGTGTTGTATAACATACGGTAATTGTTGCTGCAGTGATTGTGATCCGTCCATTTTTAATTAAAAACTCCATCATTACTTCTGTGTTTATGATTCTAATGAATTGATGTTTGTGTATAGTTTACATAAATTTTTTTTTTATTTATTGTTTGTTTTTTTGTACAGAATTTGCATTGAAATTTCATTTGTGTTTATTTGATTGTACTGGGCTTTATTGTGATAAGGGCCTTGTAAACTTCACCGAACTGAAGTTTAATAAAAATTTAATTAAACTTGTAATTTAGAATTGTTGTTTTTGTTATGTTGTAGGGCTGGGCAGGCAGAAAGTAAATGCTGGGTATCCTAATCTGAATTTCATTTTCCATTATTATTTATGGACCAACATGATGTTTTAATAATAATTTGGTGGTTGAGTATATTTAATCAAAATTTGAATTTTAACTCAATCCTCTTTAAGTCTGTTTTATCAATAAGGTAGTGTTCTAATCCAGAGTGGATTTGAAGGTTGTACAGTCTAGAGGGATCTACTTCCTGATTTCTTTTTCTACGTCCTCTCGATATTTATTCATCTTAATGTCATCAAGTTATCAAGTTTACTTAAGATGAATGATTGAGGAATTAATCTTCGATTTAGAGTATGCAATTGATATAATATTGCTTTTTAAAATTATATTCCATATGGTTATCAGTAATTATTTTCTGGGATATATGTACACTAAGAAACATATTTGACATTTAAAGACTGAAATTCAACTTGTATCTTTTGCACAATTATCTGCAATATCTAATATTTTTAATTTCATTGTTAACTAATAGACAACATCTTAATTTACATTACCACTATTTTATAATAATTTACTATAGTTCTTAGATTATTTAAATTAACTACAACTGTGTAAATTCATTAATAAAAGCACTCAGTAATTAACAACTTTAATATCAAAATTATTACCAATTTATTCAAAACCAACA